ACTTTTTCTGCGCATTTCTTTTGTGGATGCAAGTTGAATAGTGTAAGCCTCGTCTGCGTTCCACCTTTGCCCCCAGCGATCCTAGTCGCGGGGTTTTCTTTGATATCCTGCATCCTGAGTTCATTTTCCAATAGGTATTATAATTAGACAGATTTCGTTTGAAAATTACTGTCCGTATGACAGAAACTCACCTTTTGGACACATAGTTATTAACACGTCGGTGGTTCATATACGCATCATAACACCATTTGCGTTTATTCAGAGGCAATACCCAATCTTACCGACTAAAGAGTATAAATTCACTTGTTGATGAAAAGCCAATACTCATAATCAAAGGGAGGAAAGCAGCCAGATAAGAGCTTTTTAAGTATTGTAGTGAACAGAGCTGAGTGTGAAGAGTGTTGAAACATTGCCTACTTGCAGTTAATTGTAAAATGAAGCTACAAAGTAAGAGGATCAGAGATTACATCAGAACATAATTATTAATTGCCCTCTCGCTATCCTGCAACCCTTCTTATCGCTTGGTCTTCTATACAGTGGCTTGTCATTCTAGATCTCCTGCGCCCATCATTTTATTAGATAAAGTGAGATGTATTCACACTATTTAAGTTAAGGTGATAATCTCGAAACCCTACTCATAAACAAAAAAAGTAATGTAATCGATTTTTATAGCAAATATAACTTTGCTTGATACTGGCATACCTTTCATTTCGTGTGAGGCGGGTAGAAGGGATTCCTAGATTCGCTTCACCTGTTACCGGAAGAGGGCTGCCTCGAACTTTTGTGAAAAGAAGATAGGTCATGGTATTGTGTTTTTGGTGGTTGCTCGTGAATAATGGCTTTTGGCTTTGAGGATGTCCATCATATGACGAACAAAAGATCATCACGGAGCCATCTGGGTTGTAGGGCGGTGAGCCGAGGTCTTCGCGCAATTTAACAGACAAAAGCCCAAGGCAATCATCCCTTGGTATCTGGTGGAGCTAATCTACGAATCCCTTCGGACCGCTACTACTAAGGGATTCTTCGAATCCCAGCTTCTCTTCATAGCTTTGCTTAATTGTTAATCCCACCAAAGAATATGGCATGGAAAAATGCCTGGCTTTCCTTGACATTCACATCTGCCCCGTGATTCAAGGACAGTTGTGGTATTGTAAAGTTATGGCTAACTTGCCGAGATTACACGCTACACTGTCATAGTTCGAGTCCCGCTGTGGGTGTTGTTAAGACCTAGGCAAGGTCGAAACTGTAGTTCACCCTGGAAAGGAACATCTTTTGAATAAGCAAGGCTATGCGAAATTCAGCTGAAGCGTCAGCTCTATTCATATAATTATGGCAAAATTTAACTACTAGTCCTTCCTCACCTTAAACGAAATAGGCTCAATATATTTCATATATACAGTACAATTATAGTTCGCACGATGAAATTGAGTAAAATGATGATTTCAATGTGAAATAGAAAAGATAGTATTCATGATTTTAATGATTACACAATCGCTACGCTTTTGTCACCAAATAAAATCTTTTTAAGTTTCCCTCTGCTCTCACATTCTTATGTAGGAAAAGTATAAATTTATGATAGTATACTTGGTTGCTAGACACAGGGTTGCATTTAGGCGTAAATGGAATGTTTTATGCATGGAAAACGTTTAGAATTAAATTTCCAATAAGGCAAAGGAGCTAATGTTCTAAACGTCATAAAGATTAACTGATTTAAGAACTTAAATCTACAATTTTTTCTTTGCTTTTCCGCTAAACAAACCGCGTGGGCTACCTAAGATTGAATTGAGTTACTAATAATTCAAAGCCTTGTTATCCACTTTGCATCTTCCTTCAAACTCCGATCGATCAGGTATTGCATATAAAAATAATCAAATTGCAGGCCAGACGATGCATTCTATACTTTTAGAGAGTTTTCGTATGTCCTTTCGTTTGTTGCTCCAAAGTGGGACCTACACAATGTGATCTTGATTTAATAAAATTTAACGTTTCTCATCTTTTAATTTAGGTCGATAATGTGATATTTTTGGACCGCTTTGATGGAAACGCCCAAGTGCACGGAACCCTTCACCTGACGGTCAGTCATGTCTTCTTTCTTGGCACGTCGAGACGACAGGAAATTTGGGTGCGTTAGATCAACATTCCAGTTCTTATTCTTTTAATTATACGTTTTATCGGCTTGCTTGATTAGAATCTCGAAACGAATATACAAAGAATGGTTTTTCCGTTGTTTGGCTCGCTGATTTTTAATATATATCGAGAGTAACTGGGTTTCGATGAATATTCTGAGATAATATTATTGTGGTGAATCTCATTTCGTGTGAGACTGCCGGATGAAGTGATTCATAGGTTGATTTACCCAGAAGATAAAGGCTAATTGCCGTTGTTTTGCATTCGTATTATTTTACTACGATATTCATGTTGGGGCACTACGCGAGACGTCTTCTCTCGTTTCGCGTGAAAATAGTTTAAGCATTTGCCCAGTATAAAACAGGCATCGTTAGAGCCGAAACTCATTTTTGCTAAGGCTTCGAGTTAGTTCTGGATCAGGAAGACTACGAAAAGTTACTGGGTTTTAATGAATCTCCTGAGGTTATATCGTTGTTGTTATTTTCAGCTAATTGATGATTATAATTTCATTCGCACTCGTCCAACACGCTAGATTAAGCTCATCAACCAAACCAGGCGTATGCGATTACGTAGTCCCAGTTATGCCTTTCCTTGGGTTGTTAAACCTTAATGACCCTAGACCGAGAGGTTAGGACAAATGCTTTAGCAACCTGACTTTTTCGCTTACTCGTTTATATCTCATTATCTCAACCAGAGCTATTTACGGACTTACGCAGTCTCGGTCAGGGTTTTTTCTTAATGAGCCTTGATGAACAGAGCCTGATATTAGGCTTTTTGATCACTGATTTAGGACCGGTATTGCGTATGGACATTAATACACACACACACACTCACACTCGAATAAAAGTTGCATGGCCGATGTGAAAGATAATTAGCCAGACCATTTTATACCTATCTATGCTTATACGTTTTCGTTTTTTATTTATGAATATTTGTAAGAGGTAAGATAGAGCCGGACAGTTTTCTTGACCTATTGTTAAATTGAGACTTACAAGAATGAGCTCCAGCTCTGATTATGACCATCATATGGTGGACGGAAGCTCAGCCAGGCTTCACTCTGAACCAGGGGAATGTTTTGTACACTGTGTTATTCTGAACGTCGTATTAAAGCCAAACGGCTGCAGTACAATGGAAATCAGTCTTTGTCTTCTGGTAAAAAGACTAGCCGGCTCTACTATACATACTATACATCCTATACATATTCCAAACTAAAGTCTGAAATATCTAGATACACGTAGAGAGATAAATAGATGTGGACCAAATTTGACTATAAGAAGTAGGTAGGTTTGAGTCCGGCCAACTTTATTGTCTTCCCGTTTTGATGAGTTATCGTAAACATAGTGCTCTGACGATGTCCGTCACTTGACGGACAAAGGCCCATCAAGGTCTCAAGGCGGTGTACCGAGGACCTATTCCCACAAATCTACAGTTACAGCGGGCAGAGACTGGACATGTGATAGAATGGTCTTAAATGAGTAGGCTTGCTGATTATTCTACGCCTGCTGATAAAATATATTTAAGGGAGGCTATTTAAATTAATAGATTAAGGAATACGTTAAATGTGAGGAACAGTGGTAGAAAGTTGGATAAGAACTACTTATGCTTGATTAATATATTGAAGGAGAGAGAGAGTGTGTTAAGCAGTCATCCAAACTAAGGC